GTAGGGCCCTTTCCTGTATTGTTCTGTGTTCTATGAGGCATGGGATTTATTCCTGTCCTGTGTTTGTTTCGTCAGCCTTTGTTAACATTCCCCCTCACCCCACGCCCATTCCCCATACTCCCATTCAGCCAACTATCAACCCTAACCCTGCCAAGGTACCAAGGTGCCAGCTGTAGTTCTCACCAGTTTTGTAACACTGACTGGTGCCCCCTTTGGCTGAGGGACACTGCTCTCTTCATTTGTCAAAGTCAGAAGTCACACGATACAAGCTTATAGTCCAACAGGTTTATTTGAAATCACCTCACCTGATGAAGGAGCAGCGCTCCAGAAACTTGTGATTTTGAATAAACCTGTTGGACTACAACCTGGTGTCATGTGACTTCTGACTTTTTTTTTCTTTATTCATTAACGGGATGAGGGTGTTGCTGACCAGGCAGCATTTATTGCCCATCCCTACTTACCCAGAGGGCAGTTCAGAGTCAATCACATTGCCATGGGTCTGGAGTCACGTGTAGGCCAGACCAGGTAAGGATGGCAGTTTCCTTCCCTAAAGGACATTAGAGAACCAGATGGGTTTTTCCAACAATCAACAATGGATTCATGATCATCATTAGATTGTTAATTCCAAATATTTTATTGAATTCAAATTCCACCATCTGCCATTGCAGGATTCAAACCCGGGTCCCCAGAACATTATCTGGATCTCTGGATTAACAGTCCAGCGAGGATACCACTAGGCCATCCCAGTACAACACCAGCACCTCCACATCATGGCCATTCATTGGTGACTGTGTGGGTGTTGAAGCTGCCGTGGTGGGACATGGTTGGCCTGGGTATAGAAGGGGCTCTCCCATCAGTTTGTACAGTGACTTATGGCAGGCTATGTGATTAATCTTTATTTTCACCTGACCAAAATAACATCGATTAGAGTCATAGAGTCATACAGCATGGAAACAGACCCTTCAGTCCAACCAGTCCATGCTGATCATAACCCCAAACAAAACTAGTTTCGCCTGCATGCGCTTGGCCCATATCCCTCCAAGCATTTCTTACTCATGAATGGATCCAAATATCTTTTAAACGTTGTAACCATATCTGTATCTATCACTTCCTCTGGCAGTTCAATCCACACACGAACCACTCTCTGTGTAAAAAAGTTGCCCCTCCGGTCCTTTTTACATCTTTCTCCTCTCACCTTAAAAACATGCCCTCTAGTTTTGAACTCCCCAATTCTAGGGAAAAGACCCTTGTCATTCACCTTATCTATGCCCTTCATGATTTTATAAACCTCAGTAAGGTCAGTCACCCCTCACCCTCCTACACTCCAGTGAAAAAAGTCCCAGCCTTTCTAGTCTATTTTTGTATCTCAAACCTTCCATTCCTGGCAACATCCTGGTCAGTCTTTACTGTACCCTCTCTGGTTTAATAATATCCTCCCTATAGCAGGGCAACCAGAACGGTACACAGTACTCCAAAAGTGGCCTCACCAACGTCCTGTACAACCTCAACATAACGTTCCAACTCCTATACCCAATCTTCTAAGCAATGAAGACAAGCATGCTAAACTCCTCCTTCATCGTCCTGTCTACCTGTGATGCACCTTTCAAAGAATTATGTACCTGAACCCCTAGGTCTCTCTGTTTGACAGCACTCCCCAGGGCCCCACCATTAACTGTATAAGTCCTGCCTTTGTTAGTTTTACCAAAATGCAATACCTCGCATCTCTCCAAATTAAACTCCATCTGCCACTCCTCAGCCCATTGACCCAGCATGGAGGCAGGCCATTCAGCCCTGATGGTCTGTGATGGCTGCTTGTGCTCTACATGTCACCAGGGTGATCACAATGAGTTTGCAAACACAGAGAATGCTGGAGAAACTTCAAAGGTTTGGCAGCATCTGTGGAGGGAGAGACAGAGTTAACTCCAGAAACTGACTACATGATTTCTGTTCTCCATTTAGTTTACATTCTTCAATCTCCACCCCCACAATCTTGCCTTGTTTCTGTCTTGTTTACATGGAAACATAGAAGATAAGAGCAGGAGGAGGCCATTCGGCCCTTTGAGTCTGCTCCGCCATCCTTCATGATCATGGCTGATCGTCCAACTCAACAGCCTAATCCTGCTTTCTCCCCATAACCTTTGCTCCCATTTACCCCCAAGTGCTACATCCAGCCGCCTCTTGAACACATTCAATGTTTTGGCATCAACTGCTTCCTGTGGTAATGAATCCCACAGGCTCACCACTCTTTGGGTGAAGAAATGTCTCCTCATCTCTGTTCTAAATGGTCTACCCCAAATCCTCAGACTGTGACCCCTGGTTCTGGTCACACCCACCATTGGGAACATCCTCCCTGCATCTACCCTGTCCAGTCCTTTGCGCTTAGTGCAGAGAATAGTTTCTCTCCTTTCCAGGCCTTAATTTATACCCATTTTACTTTTCTCTCTTTCACCATCTCCTTTGTCTTTTTGCATTGTGCCTCTACATCATTTTGACCTTTCTCCGCCTCTACCAAAAGTATAAAAGAATTTCCTAATCACACCACCACGTCATCTTTTGTGCTCCTTATCTAAGGAAAGATAGACTGGCATTGGAAACAGTCCAGAGAAGGTTCACTCGGCTGATCCCAGGAATGGAGGGACTATCTTATGAGGAGAGGTTGAGTGGGTACAGGGCAGCACGGTGGCTCACAGCGCCAGGGACCTGGGTTCGATTCCACACTCGGGCGACTGTCTGTGTGGAGTTTGCACATTCTCCCCTGTCTGTATGGGTTTTCTCCGGGGTGCTCCGATTTCCTCCCACAGTCCAAAGATGTGCAGGTTAGAAGGACTGGCTATGGGAAATTGCCCGTAGTGTTCAGGGCTGTGTAGATTAGGTGGGTTATAGAGGGATGGGTTTGGGTGGGTACTCTGAGGGTCGGTGTGGACTTGTTGGGTCCAAGGACCTGTTTCCATACAGTAGGGATTCTATGATTCTATGAGGTTGAACCTGTATTCATTGGAGTTTAGAAGAATGAAAGGAGGCCTTATTGGAACATCCAAGAGCCTTTGGGAATGTGACAGGGGAGATGTGGAGAGGTTGTTTCCCCTTGTGGGAGAGACTAGGACCAGCAGGTATGAGCGATCAGAGGGGAGTGAATCTGTGGAATTCTTTACCACAAAGCGCTGTCGAGGCTGGGTCATTAAGTATATTCAAGGCTGAGACAGATTTTTCATCAGGAAAGGAGTCAAGGGTTATGGGGAAAAGGCAGGAAAGTGGAGTTGAGGATTATCAAATCAGCTGTGACCATATTGAATGGCAGAGTAGATTTGATGGGTTGAATGGGACTTGGTGCAAGTTCAGATAAAGGCGACAGAGTTTGGGACGCATTCAAATTTACAGAGAGTGGAAAATCAGAGACCAATCAGGGGAACATTGAAAATGGTTCCATGAGAAACTATTATAGGTCTTTAATAAAGGCCCTACTCAAGGTGTAGAGAGTCTCAAGGACACGGATAATGAACTGAATGTGGTTAATCACCTCTCAGTTACCTCATCAAAAAGCTTCAGTAAGTTCGTAAAACATGAGTTTTGTTTTCTTTGAGAAATCCATGCTGGCTCTCCTTAATTAGCCAGCATTTTTCCAAACTGCCTGTTCATTTTGCTCCAAATTATTGTTTCTGGAAAGTTCTCGCCACCGAATTTAATCTGATTGGTCAGTGCCTCTGTAATTCCCCGTCTCAGTTTCCTCAGTGTTTAGTGGATACTGCGCTAGTGCCTTGCTCATATTCAGTACAGACATGTTTCCAATACCCAGCCTTTATTAATGCAACACCCTCCAACTGACTGAGTTATTGAAAGGTGCTCAGTAAGGATAGGTTTTGTTGGAAATTCAAGGCAGAAATTCAGAAACTTTCCCACTGAGGAGGAGGGGGGTGGTGGTCATACATCAGTCACCCCTCCCTCCCCTCGCAACTAACTCCCCCACCCCTTCCCCACTCCACACATCGCACGCCCACCCACAGCAACAATCATCCACACAACCCACCCAGACACCCCACCACGACCACATTCCACCTCCACCCAAACCATCCCATCCCGTCACCCCCACACCGCACCCCTTCCCACACCGCAGCCCCATCGCACCATCTCCCTCACACACCCACCTCCAGCAACACTCACCCACAACACACCAACCCATCACTGCCACACCGCACCCCCCCCCCCCGTAAACACGCTCATCCCTCCACCCCACTGCACCCCACCTTCACCCCCACCCACACCCCACACCCAGCTATATTGCACCCCACCCACCACCTCTCGGGCCCCATCCCCTGACAACAGTGATCTGAACGGGCATGACAGGTTCTCTGTTAATTTTATAAGACGTTCAGTTATATTTTTATATCAAGTAAAGTTTGTGTTGGGGGAATTTGTTTTGTTTTGTTGATTGTGTACTTAATATAAAATAACCCAAAAGGGGTCACATTCAGAAAACACAACTGCAATCTGTCTTAGCTTCTGTTTCGGGATCTTCCTGAACCTTCTTCACAAGGGGACTGAAGCCTCTCAGCACCAGCGGGATCCTCTCTCTTCCTCTCTCTCTGTCCCTCACCTCCTCGCTCACTCTCTTCTGCTCCCATGTTCCAGGGGCAGGGATGAGGGGCACCCCGATAATACAGCAACCATTGATAGGTGGTCAATTGGAAGGAGGCACAGATGTTGGGGGGG